GCTTTAATCTTCCAGGTTATAGAAGTGCATCTATTGTGTTTTGGCCATCTGCTCGGGTTAATCAAGATATTCAGAAAGTTTGTGCTGTTTGATCAGTTGCTCTTGGTGCAAATGGATGCAGGGGCTGAGGAAATGAGAGCTAAAACTAAGGGTGTAAAAAGTGTTTATATTATACTGACAGTGTCCAGAATCTAAGACTCTTGTACATCAGCTGAAGAAGATAGGTGTATATCACCCTGCATCCATCAGCACATGAAGGGCAGCAGCACAGAAACTGTGGCAGTGGAAAGGGTGGAAATGGGGCTGCCTGGTGCTTCAGTGTGAGGGAAGGCTTTGAGCTGGGCCCCAAAGTCCCTCCAGTTTTCTTCCCTGTGACTAGAATGCCCAGAATATATCTTAACTATTACAGACTTGGCACTTTACAACTGATGGTATTTTTTTAAAAAGTGTCATTATGTAAATCAACTCAGGGAAATCTGGATTGACTTTTCATAGCTTTTTATTACGGTGGCATGCTTCCCTTAGTCCTCTAGTGGAGATATAAACCAGTGATTGTAAAGTAAAATAAATGAACTGGCACATAGATATTACACCTCCTGTATTATTGTAGACAATATTAATAGTAAGGTCTGGAGACATCTAAATCACAGAAGAGATGAGTCCACTAAACAAAGACTTTTGCAGGTTTAAAAGTGTTTGTAGAAATTCTGGATTTGTTTCTTTCCTTGCACTGCTGCTTTTTTTTAGGAAGGTTGTTCGGAAGCTTTATTTCTTAGATAAACAAACCATCATATGAGTTCAGAGGAACATCAAAATTTGTGTTCGTGGTGCATTCCAAGGGACCCAGCAGAGCTGGGAGCCCTGCAGCATTCCTGCATCCATCCCTGCAACCATGGCTCTAAGGTCAACATTTCCAAAGCTAACATCCTCATTTCAGGTGTCCCACATGACTGCAAACTTGCTGTCTGCAGCTGGTTTTACCACTGTAAGCCACCTAATCTCCGGTGTAATGTCACTCTACGTATCTCAGGACGCCGTCACTCCCACCACAAGGCTGCAGGCAGCTCCGGCTGGCAGGCATGCCACAGCTTTCCAGTACTGGAATCCACCTAATCCAAGGTGCTTAAAGTAAAGATGCTGCTTGTAAGCTCCAATTACATTTTACATTACTCTGCTGTGTGCTTGTAAAAACAGCATTGCTTCAGGAAGGTTTCACTGCATGAGCACCAGGAAATTTCGATCTTTAACCATGTCAGCCTAACAGCGAGGAACTATGATCAATGCTTGACAGCCTGCTTAATTCAAATGCAAATGTAATACCCTGTCAGTCACGGGAGAAAGCCAATTAAATAAAGACATCTCCCATGACATGGGCAATTAAATAGTTGCTTTTCCTCCTGCTGTGCAAAGATTTTCCTTAATTTCCTGTCCCTTGCTGAGACAGCCTTGGCTTTTCTGCCCGGGCTGGAAGCTCAGGTGTCACTGCTCTCACGGGTGCCTCCGTACCGCTTATCCTTGCACTGAGGAGGAGGTGGAGGAGGAGGAGGGCAGAACCCAAACTCCCGTTTTTTTCTAGATAAGATGAGCAGTAGCTGAAGAAACCGCTGTCTCGACAGTGCAGAGCAGCAGGGCAGACAGCTGTCCTTCCCCTACCAACCTCATTTACAGTGTTTCTAAAACACACAAACATCATGCACACACATGGGCTGCTCGTTTCCTCGCCCTTGTATACTCAGCACTGGCGCCTTATCACTCATGGAAGGTGGCTGGAGGCACAGCACATGCCTTAACCCTCTCCCGCCTGCTCTGAAAGTGTGACACACTTGCAGGAAAACAGGTGTCTCCCCACAGCTCCCACTGCTCCTGCTCATGCAGCCAGACAGATGCAAGCACTGTGCAGACAGTGGAGAGGTCCCAGAGGAAATACATTTCTAATATTGTTAACTCTTTTTTGCCCTTTCTTACATATTTTCTGAAATAACAATGAAATCTGAAGGAAATCTCATGACTGTACACAGTCCCATCCTAAGCACCCAGGGACCCTCTTGGCTGTCCCTTGCTGCTCAAACCAGTGCAGGCATGCCCAGCTGTGTCCAAACATGCACAGAGCACTTGCAGGCTGGGAGGCTCCCACTGCAGGAAAAGCTGAGGTCAGCAGTTTGTCCCTCTGTTTCTCCTTGAGAAGTGTGCAAGTGAACAGTCAATCCTCTGGACAGCCCCTCATTCTGCTGGGTCAAACCACCGAGTAGCTTTAGGTGCTTGTGCTGGAGGGTGGCACTCAGACAAGTGTTTGCAGTCACTGGCAGATGAGAGATTCCTAACACAGGGCAAATGGAAATGGAAATAATGAAAGTATACCTCAGGAAAGCATATACTTATGCACTGATGATGTGTAAAAACCTACTAAAACTGGGCTCCATGTTTTCAGAAGGTGATCCAACACAGCCAGGACGATCTGTGCCATTGTTCTAATGTAGCATAAATGTCTTACATATTCTATCTGCCCATCACACCTACCCACTGCCTTTCACCTTGTGTTTCATGTCTCTGGAAATGACCCTCTTGTATCACACTCCAGTACTTTTCTTTACACATCAGACTTCTGTTCCCTGTGATGTCTCTCTAGGCATCACCATGGTATGTTCAGTAATGCCAGCAGTTGTTTCCATTTGCTTTTGTCAATGTAAGAATACTGAAACCAAGAGGGTTTTATGATAATTTTTTGCAAATGATGAATTATAGACAAAAGGTCTGTAGTACACTGACAAGTCTCCCTTTCCTTGGAGATAGTGCCATGTAATGCTATCCAGAGCAGGAGGGTTATGAGACTTTTTTTTTTTTTTTCACATGGCCTATGGCTTTGATTAGTGAGAACAAGGACATTCACACACCTCATGTGTGCATCTCAGGTAGGATTCATCTCACTGAACATTAATCATCTCACCACCACGCCCCTTTTTTCTGTTTCCCTTCACGTAGTGCCATGTCTGTCATCAGAAGTGGGTGTCTATAAAACCACCCCACATGTCAGGCTCAGCATCTCACCTGCAGGTGTTGGGCTTCCAGACCCTCCACAGCCCCCAGCCAGCATCACCACACTGGTTCACATTCAACTCACATTTTGGAAGTTTTCCCTTTATGTTTTAAGGTTATTTCCCTAATGATTCTGACATGATTAATACTGGGGTCTGGAGTTCAGAGTGACAGCTTTAAGGAACTAGACTGTGAGCTGACAAAATATAGACTATTATTATTGTATTATATTGTATTATTTTGTAACAAATTCAGCCCAGTACTGCTGATAATTTATGAAAATAGAAACTTCTGCAAACTTAACAGATAAGGGACACTTGTGTTCAAAATGCACAGCATATTGGATTCACAGACCTAACAAAGTTACAAGTTTCATTAGTATCTCCTTCGGCAGTGGACCTCAGATGCATTAGGAGAGGGTAAAATGATCCCGTGGAAATGGAAATATTTGATCATCAGTGCAGCATGATGGTTAACAGGTTCCTGATAAAGCTGAAGTTCAGAACTTGAAGACACAAAACCCCAAGCTTGGCACAGCTGCTGTTTTCTGTTCTGTTCTAACACTTCAGGCAAAAAGTGCTATTGATGTGCTGCTCAGTAAAAGCATTTACAATGTTTACTTTATGTAGCATGTGATCAGATAGCAATAAATATCTCTAACTTAATCTTCTTTACAATGCATTTTTCTTTTACTTATACCCCTTAAAACAACTCTCATTACAGCTTTCGAAAGATATATTTTCCTGGAGAGATACTTATTGTTTTCCCAACATTTTCTGCAGAGTGGTCAGAGGGGCTCCAGGCACCACATAAAGCACCACATCAAACTCAGGAGCAAAAGTGCATGTGGTCTTTCACTAGTGCAGTTTGCCTACCTTTACAGAACTTTAAAGCATATTGCTTTAAGACTTTTATCCATACATAGGCCTGTTTGTTATCTGCTACTGGGACAGACAGTGCTATTTTTATATATCCCAACACAGAGGAGAGGACAAACATATTGACCATGCTGTCTCTGAAACACTGAGGAGTTACTGCTTTTGTTGAGACTGCAAAAAGTATATTGAAATATGTGTGTAAACTACATTGAAATCTGAACAAAAGTAATCTGATGTTTTAAAGCAGCTTAGCAAGAGACAGTGGCATGCAAGAGACTACCCAAAGCAAACCTAGTTTCACTTATTTGTGAGCAAGGATACAATCTGCCTGTCTTTTTTGATCATAACGGAACTGAAATAATTTTTCACTCAGTACTTCTGTGCCACTTCAGCATGGTGACAATGTGTTCCTTAATCTCTTTTGGAAGTATTCAGAAAATAAACCAGAATATTTACTACACATTATTTTTTACTAAACATTATTGGAAAATGAAGTTTCTGAACTAAAAACAGAGATCAGTTTTGACCAGATAAGGGGCAAACTGTTTAACCAAGGGAAATACACTGGCTATAGCAAGTGTGATTCCTGGCTTCAGGCAAGCTAATTTGAATATTTGAAAAATATTTTATTAAATATTGTCTCACATATTAATAACTTCAAGGAAGCAAGCCACTAGAAAGAATTGATTCTCATTGCACTTTAAATTGCTGCTCCAGTGCCTTCACACTTCATGAAGCATGGATCAACTATCTTTTTGGCAAATATGAGCATGCTATCTTTTAGCAGAGCTTAATTAATGGTATTTTCTCTCTCAGTCTTTAGCTTGATCTGCTCTTGTCCCTCTTTGAATTAATGTAGACTATTAGCTAAATTGCACAAATATTTAGTTTAGAAAAAGTATCCTGTGTTCAGTCTGCATCCTCCTCAAGTTGTATGCTAATATTCATCAGAAATCACCTGAGGTAGTTCTTCTTCCCTCATCACAATAAAAATAAACATTATACCTGAAAATACAAATTAATAATTGCGCATTTTATGGAGTCATAATTATGCAGGCTTCTTTTCAAGGTAACAGCAGCCAAGCTTACCTGTCAGCTGAGAGAGCAGTGAGAGTAAAGACAGACACCCCTACAGAGGTGAGCTGTATGAAGGGGATAAGTTTGCATCCAGTTCTGCCAAACAGCCACTCATCAGCAAGGTACCTGCTGGCATCCACAGGCACACAGGTCACTAAAAGCAGCAGGTCTCCCAGAGCCAAACTGGAAATGAACAAATTAGGGACATTTCTCATGGATTTCACAGTACAGAATATCTTAATCAAAGTGATATTGCCAATAAGGCCTATCAGAATGATGATCCCATAGATAGTGGGGATGGCGTAGAGGAACGCTGGGTAAAACCAGTCTTCCCCCAGGAGTGAAAAGTTTGCACTCTGGTTGACAGAGACATTATAGAAAATGAAGTTATCTGTTTCTAGGTCTAGCAGAAGGCACTCTCCAGATGCCATCGTCCTGTTTTACTCTTCTCGGAAAACAGCTTTCTTCTTTGAAAGTCCTCAAATTCCTTAAATTAATTTCTTGCTTTAATTTTGCTGCTCCTTGCTGGCTTTAAACAGTCAGAAGACTTTAAAAGTCATATTACTTTGTGACACATCTTGTCAATAACCCAACCAAAAAGCACCTGCAGCTTGCTCCACAGTCCTGTTTCCATAAGGTGAAAGGAGAACATGTTTTTTAGCATCGTTTGAATTGTGAAACTTGCATTTTCCTCCTTGACTTCTCTTGCTGTTAAGTATTCCTCAGCTCTGGAAGGCCAACTATCAAATTCAAAGACCAGCAAGCGGCAGGCATTTTCGCAAACGGGGCTCGTTAAACTCCCACCTTCGTCTCTGCCCGGCAGCCCCGAGTCCGAAAGCGGCGAGTTACAGAAAGCGAGAACTTTGGGGAGTTGCTGCCACGCCGCACCGCCAGTCTCTCCCGCTTTCGGTGCCGGCCATCGCCAGCCGGATTTAAAGCGAGGGGGCAAAGCGGGGCTCGGCTGGCGGCTCGGATCCCATAGGCAGGATGTTCCCGACGTCAATCCTGGCGCTGCTTCCCACGGCGTGCGCGGCTGCCGGCGGCGCGGCGGGAGCGCCGGGGAGCAGCGCCGGCCGCCTGCTGGATGCTCCGGGCAGCGCGGGGCCCCGCCGCCCTTAACTCTTTAGCTGACAAAATGCACATCTGCTCACTTAGGGCTCCTGAAATGCGTCATCGGCTCGCCACCCACTGCCTCCCCCCTCAAAAAAACCAACCCCAAATCTTCCCTCCCTCACAAAAACCCACCAACTCCCCCCCTCCCCCCCGCCTCCACCAAAACCAAACAGTCAAACCCAAACAAATCAAACCCAACGCAGGTAATTTCATACTGCAAACAACGTGCTCAGAAAAGCCATCCCACCTTCTTAACTAAAAGCACACCTATTTTCATTACACTCTGGTATTCAGTTATTCCAGTGAGAGAATGATGATATAAAGACAAATTCATCTTCCCCTCTCCTGCCAAGGCAAGCGAAATTAATACAGCCAATTACAATAAAACCCAACATTGCCGTTAAGGTAGGCAAATGAATATTAGCACTGTGAGCTTGAAGTTATACAGGGAAACCTTAACTCTGCACACTTTTATGCTATTTTTTTTAATTTGGAGGAAACAGTGTTGAGAGACAAAGTTCACCATTCTATGCAATAATTTCCATAGATAATGCATGTTGAGATGCAACAGAAAGAAATTTACTTGGCTTGTAACAGTCTAAAATAAGCCTTTTTAAAACTGATTAAGCTAAAACTATCACTGATGCCTTACTGCTTTATAACAGGCCATTTATGAATATACACGAGGACTTTCTGGACTGCTGAGATACATAGTTAATTTGGAAACCAGCCTGCAGAATTAAAAAAAGCTGTACTTTACATTTTCTCTCACAACTGCTCATTTTTGCAGGCAAAAGAATGTTTCACCAACTGCTAGAGTTACTTGGAAGTGAGAGGGGAGGAGATTCAAAGCAGGCATTAAAGTGTGATCACTGGTTACTGCATAAAAGAAGCATTTCAGGACACATTCTGGAAAATCTCCAGGGGTTTGAAAGTGGTGTCCCATGGTGGGATTTGAAGCAGGAGGCTTCAATATCTGTTTTTCTGCTTCGTTCTCGTGACCTGGGTCAGTGTTTTCAGCTGTTTTTCTGCTGTCCGTTCTAAGTCAACAAAGGACTTATGTGTACCCTTAACTTTAAGTAGGGCTACTTACATATATTTTTCAAGCCAAACACACATGACAGTGCTGTGCTGATAGCTTGAGAGTGCAGAGGATAAGCCAAATTTTCTAGTATTCTTTTCAGAGAGAAGCCTGCTTTTAAGAAAAGGCTGGAGGCTACCACAGTTAAAAGCAGAGGACGCAGAGAGACTGTGCACATTCTGATTGGGGCACATGGGCACTTCTGCGGGTCAGGGCCAGCTCTGGGCAGGGCTGCCAGGTTGGGTGGATGCCATTTGGAGGCAATGCCATATTTGGCACAGCAGAGCCAAAGGCACAGAGAGGAACTGCGGAGCTACTGAAGCAGGCCTGCCACACACCATGGTAGGACACCTCTCCCAGAATATCCCCCAGCATACCTGGGAGCCTGGTGATAAGGGCTGCATGACAAAGGGATGCACACCCCCCCTCCCTCTCCCCACATTTTGCCTTTGGAGCATTGGGATAAAGGGGAGAGGACACTTCTGGAAGTGGGAGCAGCCACTTGGTGTAACCCTGATGGACCCCTGTGCCCAGCAGCCTGGTCAGTAGTTGGCAGTGATCCACCCTGAGTAGGAGGTGGGGACTTCTTGTCTCCCTTCCCGTTCAAATGGCTTGTTGACACTGGGATTTGTAAACCCACCACTCAGAGATATAACATCTCTAGCTCTCAGCACAAGCCTTTATTTTTCAGATGGAAAACAAAGTGGTCAGTTTGACAAAAATCCTCTAACAGGACCACTAAGTCATCCCTCTTCACCATTTGAACCCTTCTGCACTGAAACCTCTCTTCCCTTTACATGGCAGACTATGTGAGGTGAGCAAAGGAAGAAATGAGAAGCAATGCTGATCTGGTGGCTGACAGTGATGTTGATCACTCTTTTGAGATGGGGCATATCACCATATCCCATGTCTCCATCAGTGAAGGAAAGGGCTCTCATGATCTCTGGGAGTATGCACTTCACCTTTATCTTTGCAAGGCTGATTGTTATTCCAGGAAGCACTTCAACTCTAAACTTACAGCTTTCTCATTTTTGCTTTTGACATATCCAGGCTTCAGATTTAGGACAAAGTTTTCTGACCACAGAGAATGAGAAACTGAGATTAAAAAAAAAAAACAAAAAAAAACAAAAAAACACCCACCAAACTCTAAATCAAACAAAACCAGATTCTATAATGCTTGAAACAGTTTAGATTATAAAAAATATTCATTATTTATGTCAAATGTAAATACACTGTTTCAGGGAAGATGAAGGACACAGGTTTTATTCACTGTTGCTGGCCTGCAGATGTTCCCCAGAAGTAACTTAAAAATGATGAGGATGTTTCCCAGACATGTTTCTGTCTTGTCATAAATTGCATTTGCGAGGTTTTTGTTTATAATGAATGGTGTACCTTTTCAATAATTTCGCTCTACTGTTCCCTGAGCAGGCAAAATGTCTGGACATTGGTATGAGCATACCACCTCTGTGTTCCTTTCAAGATCCCAAGCCTCTCTCAAAAGGACTTTAAGCATCAATACCCCTGTTTCACCACTGGAGTAACCTGAATGCATTATAAAAAAAAAAAAAAAAAAAAAAAAAGTGACTAGCACAAAGTTACTTAACAAGCTGTTGGCAGAATTCTGAATAGAATAATGCAAGGCCCGTGAGCCTGGTCCTGCATTATAATGGTTTTTGGTTGGACAATGGGAGATTCCACTCATCCTTTCATCCTTTCAGTAGATGCTTTTTTTAATCTCTCAGCCTTTGTCCAACCTCCAAATGACAGCTGCAAAGAGAAAACTTTCTTAACTGTGCACATTGGGGGAGATTTGTAAATGTTTGATGGGCAAAATTTTCAAAAGCACTTAAACCCACATGAAAGGTAATGAAATTTAGGCTCCTACATTGCTCAGGAGCTTACCACCTGGAAGTGGAGCCAGAGTTACAAACAACTGCAATCTACATTGAGAAAAGTACACAAGACCCACTTTTCAAAGGTGCTTGGAGAGCTGCAGCTGCCAAAATCACATCTCCAGGCAGATTTTCAGAGCCCTAACACCAGTGTGCCAAGGTGTTTTGTAAGACACTGATCATGTATTCTACAAATCTAAATGGACCACTTTGGAAAATCTAATGCAACAGGAGATTCTGTGAGGTTTTCTGGGAGATGATCTGGTGATGGGAGCCAGAGAATGTTGGTGTAGCCACCAGCAGACCCTGAGGCTGGCCCAGCCATCATCCTGGAGAGCAGGAGCAACCTGCTGCACCAGGGTGGGCAGCCCTTGCAGCATCCCCCACACCAAGCCCCTCCAACATGCAGGGAACATGGGGGCAATGGCAAATCTTCTTCTTGGAGCATGGCTCTTTGCCAGGGATATCATAGTTGCTTGTGTGACTTTCCTTCATATTGATGTCTTCCCAGCTCAGAGGAGATGTATAAACTTGCATCCAGGGTCAAGAATCAGGACAGGAGTCTCTGTGCTCAGGGTTTTGCTGTTTCCTGATAACTGAATTACTGGGGCTAGGAACCAGTGAACCAGGGATTACTCACTGCTGAGCTTGTGAAGCACAACATCCGCTGATTTACTAAGTATTCTCCTGCAAACTCTTCATCTCCCAGAGGGAACAAAGCAGTGTAAGGCATCCTGCCTATAATCTCTTCAAGCAAATTCTTCATTTTTACTGCTGTCACCCCTACGTGCCCAAATAGTGCTCTGTGTTCACCACTCCATTTCAGTCACCAAAGTTAACAGAAACAGTTCACAAAAAGGTGATTTTCTAACCCATTTCATTCCAGGGTTCAGATTTATATCAGGGCTTTACAGAGAGTAAATTACATAAACTTTTTATTTTCTTGAGCAAAAATATTTACTCATACCTGCATGACTGGAGGTCAGAGGGGCTGGGGAAGGAACTGAATATAATTCAATGCATAAAAATCCCCATAGAAGATATGATGTGCTAGTTTCTTGCATATATAAAAATGGAAATGAAGCATTGTCAATTTTCCTCCATCCTGCAGCCTTGCTGACGCACAGCCTACAGTGCAAATGAAGATGCAGGTCATACAATGTGAACTGCTCCCACTGTGCCTTTGAAAATAGCTTGCTCATTCTAAATTAGGCAACTCCTTCAGTGTGTTTTTAGCTTCACAAATCCCTTACTTAGTCCCAGCATTTCATCATGATACACAGTCATCAAAAACTGACACAGCTGGAAGGGATGTCTGAACTGCCTAACACACTGGAGGTGTGCTCATGGAGAAAGAAGTGTTTGAAGGAGATACATGCAGATCTGTGTTTACAGGAATCTTCTGCCAGAAGAGTAACACAGCCATAACAGCATCTGCAAATGAAGTAAGTGAGAAACGAAAGGCTGCATGGTGGGCCAGCAAGAGCAAGGAACCAGACTGTACCTTGTAAATGAGGGATGAAAAGGGACTCGAGAATGTAGAGAGGTGCCTGTGTGAGCCACTTTCAAGGAGGGCACATTTGGAAAAGATGCACAGAGTGTTGATGTGAGCCCAATGAAAGGAAAAGGATCTTGGCAAACCTTCAAGCAGCAACAAGGCATTTTTTGAGAGCAAAGAATGCTGTAACAGGCAAGATATGGGCAAGAAATCTTAGCTAAAAAAAGAGGTAGGAAAAGTTTTATTTCACATACTTCATGCAGACACACACCTCTCCACACCCACAGCCTCCAAGACAGAAAGACCTAGGGGTGCAGGGAGAGCAAAAACTAGGAAGCACGACTGAGTGAAAAACAGTCAAGAAAAGTGCTGCCACCTTGGTGCAGAGAAAACATTAACATCTCTTTTAACCA